TAGGCGGTGACGACGCCTTTGCCAGTGCTCGTGTCGACCAATCAGTGTCGCGGATCAGTAGGACTCAAAGTCGAGTCCTAATTGATTCCAACAGTATCGATTTCGGGATTTTCCCCACAGCCTTCGTTTGCATGCTTCCGGCTGACCATATCCCCTTTACATCGATCCATTCAATCGTCATACTATACATACAGAGTTGAGAAGTGTGTCATGTCGAACGCCGTGTCCACCTGTAGCGCTCGTCTATCCACTTCCATGACCCAGAGAACAAATCAAACTACCCAGCGTACAGACTGGGTTCATAATAAAACAAGATAGCAGAATCTTTTGGACGCCAAAGATGCCGGGAGAATAGAAGCGTAAATGTGAAGATGTGAACGGGGACATAGTCGTACAGCAGCGAGCGCAAATGCAAGGAAAGGAATCGAGGTAGCGAGTAGCTCAGTAGTAATCTCTGGCACTCTTTTGCAGCTCGATCAGTCGCCATCCTCTTGTCTCAGGATTGTTGACATCTTCTGGTATCCTGGTAACACCAATGGCGTATGTCACCTGTTGGACTTTGTCGTCCATGCCAGAAGCCAACTCTCCGCTCTTTGCGTTGCGGTAGACGTGCACCTCTTGGGTTCTGCACGTGAGGATGAAGACAGGGATCTCTCCAGGCTCCAAAAGTTTTGCGTTGAGAACATCAACACCGCGGATATCCACAATCTTTCCGTCAGACTTGAGACCAGCGGCTTGGTATTGCTGCATCAGTGCAGCGTAAACAGAGTACTGGGCTGCCGACAGCCACTCCTTCAAAACAGCGACGTCGCCCTTGACATAAGCATCCAGAACCTCAGGCAGGATGTATTCGCGCATCTCAGTCAGGAAAGACTCCATCTGGAAGTTGGGGTCCATCTCCCGGAATTTCTTGATGACCATTGCTGTTTCGTTTTCGGCGAAGAAACCAGTGATGCGGTCCGAGATGCTACGAGCCGTCTCAATGAGAGGGTTGTCAGACTCTCTGTAGACAGCTTTCATATTGAAGAATCCTTGGGCGAGCTTGGAGTTGTCCTTCCACTCTCTCCAGACCTCTTTGTACTTCGCGTCCTTGTGTAGTGTTACATTGGTACCGGCACTGTACAATGTTAGTCGAGAAGTATCAAGTTATTAGAGGCAATCTCACTTTGGGTCCTCTTCCATTGGCCCGAGAGCTTTGCCGCCAGTTCGCTTGAGCTCGTTGAGCTCACGCAACTCTCGCCTCTTCCTGCGCTCTTCCTTTTCGACCCAGCCACCATATCTTGATGAGCTGCCATCATCAATGGTCTCCTTTACGGCCTGAAAAGCCTTTGTTTGTCGCACTGGTCTTGTTGCGTATTCAATACCGCTTCCAGTAACCCTAGCAGCAGCACGAACACCCTTCACAGGCATGGTATCCCACGTCCAAGCCGCACCTTGACCCACAGCTGATGCAGTTGCTTTCAGTGCCTCGGCTGTCTTTGTCTTTGCAGCCTCAGAGATTTGGCCAGCCTTTTGGACATTTGGGTTCTGTTGGAAATCGTGCAGCGCGCCGCCCAATTGCTTTGTGCCCTCGTTCCAGTCTTTTGAAGCCTGGAACTCCTGCTTCAGCGTCTCAGTGAAGACTTGCCAGGGGGTCTTGTCACCGTGGGGTGGAGGTGGAGGTGCATCCTGCTTCTCTTTCTTCTGACCCTCCTCGCCTTCCTTTTGCTCACCCGACTCCTCCTCGCCCTCCTTCTTTTCCTTTGCTTCCTCGCCCTCTTTCTTTGTGGCTTCCTCCGCAGTGCTTCCCTCGGAGGTTGTGGACTTCTTAGCCTCCGATTGCGGCACTGGCTCTTCGTCCTTTACAGCCTTTTGTTTTTGTGCTTGCTCGTACAGGGCGGGCCGAGAAGAAAAGTGGCGGGCGTATGCGGCCGATGTGCGGAAGAGGACATCGTGGGGCAGGAAATTACTGCGAAGAAATGGTTGTGGTGAAGCCAAGGATGCCAATGGCACGGAGGTGCGTGAGACAGAGCCTTGCGGTGTCCGAGGCAATGTTGATATCCGTCTATAGGATGTAGCCCTTGCGTATGCGGGTGCTGGTGTTGCAGCGGCGGCGGGTTGTATGCTCCATCGCGCACTGGCGGCGAATGTGCTTGCAGTCAGCGGTCTCATGCTCTGGAAGGGATTAATGCAGAATCTCGAGTCTCAAGTTTCAGCGTGTGACGGGTCCAGGAGTGGTGCGATCAAATCGAGGCCGCGGCAAATGTTGAGTGAAAACGTCAGGCGGCATTGCCATCTTTTTCCGCATCGGCCATTCGGCAATGCCAAGCATCGTAACTTCGCAACTTTCTTTGACCTTCTAGCCCACCAATGTTCCTGCAGTCTTGATTGGGGCATCTGTCACTACCACCAAACATGGCTCACAACACCGCGTTACGGGCGTTTCGATCCCTCAAAAATACAATTGTTACATCATGCCGGCATGCGCAATCGCTGCGACCCTTCACCCACAGTACACGGGCCCTCAATGCAGCGCCGACCGACCGCAATAAACCAGACCAGTCAATGGACTCATTGCTCTCAAATGTATCCCAACATTTTTACCAAGCGGGACAAGACCAATTCTCGACCCTCATCCCGAACGCGGATGGCTTTCCCAGAGTTGGTAACCTAGTCCAGCGCGAATGGGAAGAAGACGACAAGCACAAACTACACGTCTACGCAACCAAGCACAACACACATCTATGCCTTACCAGACCCAACCGTGATCCATTGATCTCGGTATCATGTGGCAACATTGGTTTCAGGAAAGCAGGGAGAGGCTCGTATGACGCTGCTTATCAGTTGGCGGCATTCTTGATGAACAGAATTCAGGATAAGGGCTTGTTGCCACAAATCAAGAAATTAGAGTTGGTGTACAGAGGGTTCGGCCCAGGAAGAGAGGCCGTCACAAAGGCGATATTGGGCGCCGAGGGAAAGAAGATACGGCCATTGATTGTCAAACTGGCAGACTCGACAAGGTTGAAGTTTGGCGGCGTGAGGAGCAAGAAGCCAAGGAGATTGGGTTAGAGACTCTGATTGGTACGGTCAGGCAGTACAAAGAGAAAGGCAGAAACTGTACGATGCGATGTTGGACCTGGAAAGCGTCCACGAATAAAGACCTTCAGCGCTAAAGTACAAGCATCACAAAAGAGCAGTGCCTGTGCAAGGACGACGAATTAGACCAGCTTGAAAGTCATGTTAGATTCCTCGGGAGTGGCGCCCTTTCAGCGGGCGGCATAGTCCTCCCACTAGAATCTGTCTCCGCGATGCTGACAAGCCTGGGCGCAAGATTTCTGGTCTCATTCCTGATATGCCCTCTTGCGCCTCCCTGACTACTTCGACTACTTCCAGCAGAATTGCTCGTGTTCTCCCAGCCCCTTGTCTCCTGAGCTGTCCGAGCGCGTTCTCGTTCTCGATCGTGTCGCAGCATCGACGACCCTTCGTCTTCGAATTCTTCGTCAAGTAACTCTCCATCCGCAGTATCATAATCCGGTGGCGCTATCCATTCCCGTGGTACAACGCATGGAAGAGCGACGCCGATGCTAGCCGCACGATTCAAATAGCCCGGGGCTGGGCGACCGGTGAGTTTTTCGCAGAGATATGATGTGAAGTGATTGCAGTTTTTTGTGAGTAGGTTGTATGATGTCCCTTGGAACTCATGTGAGGCCTACAACAGGTCAGTCGGTCCCTTTTGAACTATCCAGCATTTCAAACCTCTTGTATGATAGCATCCAGTTCCTCGGCAGGGCGGAATGAGAAGCCGTGTAGAATTGCTTGCTTGAAAGTGCCACCCGGAGGCTCCAGTCCGGGTTTGGTCCAATAAACTCCAGTGAGGTCTCTCCGGTCGTGTCCCCCGTATGCGTATTCCTTATCGCCGATGACTACACCAGAGTGCAAGAGAGAGCTTCCGATTGCCCAGAGGATACTCGAGATCTTGCCGGGAGGCAGCAGATCGTAAACGTTGATTGTGATTTCGGTTCTCTGCATGGATAGTGTATTCCTATGGTGGTTGGAACTTGTGCGCGCAGGCTTGGGACGAGTATTAGACGCCATTTTGTGCGCCCGTATGCGTATTATTCGAGTATAGTATTTACTGTCGCAGCTATCTCTGCGCTGGCACCAAAGACGAAGGGTGGGGTATCATAGACACGAATAAAGCAACGCTTGGTACTGAGGATGCGGCCCGGCGGAGGGCGTAGGGTGGTAAGGTGAGATAGACGAGGGCTGTAGACCGGGGCCTGCCCGTGAAGATGTGCGGAGACCGAGGTGTGGGGTTCGGAGATGGAGGATGGTGATGTACGTAGGGTTCATGACAGTAGACGTGCAACACCGCTGTTTGGCGATCCGAGATGCAGCGGCGCGGCTAGCATGCACCCAGGCCGGGGAGGCCATTGCCTCTTTCGTCTTAGCTACATATCCGCGCCAAGCGAGCGACCGAGGTGGTCCTAGCGCCATAACTTAAGCTGTAAAATTCGATTGGACTCCAGTCACCCAACCAACCCAGCAAACGCAGGAGAGCGGCTGCAAGTCACTCTCTCACCCCTCTATTTCATCACGCCCCCCACCCGGCTTCTCACCTTTTCTTTCTCTTCTTTGATACCCACTTTTTACCGTCCGGCAGCAAGTACTGCCAGCCTGTTTTCCGCGCCTTTGCTCTCTTGTTCCTCCCCCGCCAAATTTTTCATCACCTTCACAACTGCCCGCACCTACGCTTCGGCGCCCAAGAAGAAAAAAATGCCTCCCAAGAAGCAAGTTGAAGAGAAGAAGATTCCGCTCGGCAGGCCAGGCAACAACTTGAAGACGGGTATCGTGAGTGAGAGCCCTATGTAGGCCTGTTTTGTCGCCTTCTCACATTAACAGTAAATGCCAGGTCGGCCTAGCAAACGTCGGCAAGTCGACTCTCTTCCAAGCTATCACCAAGTGCTCGCTTGGTAACCCCGCCGTAAGTCGCCCGCAATTCCGCACCTAGAGCTTGCGCTGATATGTCTAGAACTTTCCATATGCCACCATTGACCCAGAAGAGTCTCGTGTCCTCGTTCCCGACGAGCGCTTCGACTGGTTGGTAGAGCACTACAAGCCCAAGTCGGTCGTGCCCGCCCACCTGACCATCTACGACATTGCTGGTCTGACACGCGGTGCTTCCACTGGTGCCGGTCTCGGTAATGCCTTCTTGTCGCACATCCGTGCCGTCGATGCCATCTTCCAGGTCGTCCGATGCTTCGACGATGCCGAGATTATCCACGTCGAGGGTGACGTAGACCCAATTCGTGACTTGGACATTATTGCCGAGGAGCTGCGATTGAAGGACATTGAGTTTGTCGAGAAGGCGCACGCCAACCTTGTCAAGGAAACTCGCAGAGGTGGTCAGAGTTTGGAGATGAAGAAGCTCAAGGAGGAGCAGGCTACAGTTGAGAAGGTCCTCGACATGCTTAAGAATGGCAAGGATGTCCGAAAGGGCAACTGGTCACCTAAGGAGGTACGTACGCATTTTTTTTCCGCATCCTTTCCCATTACAAGATGACAAAGAGCGATTGCTCTATAATCCCAGCTCTCTGATGGCCCATTAACGCTGGGCCGTTCTGAAGTGACGTCCTTTTCTGATATACAATGTTTTTTCTCGATTCGTATTACAAGAGTTCTTTTGCGAATCGTGCTAACGATTTGTTAGGTTGAGCACATCAACCCTCTCTTCCTTCTCTCTGCCAAGCCTGTTGTATACCTTGTCAACTTGAGCGAGAAGGACTACATCCGCCAGAAGAACAAGCATCTTCCCAAGATTGCTGAATGGGTCAAGACCAACGCCCCTGGTGACCCAATCATTCCCATCTCCGTACAGCTTGAGGAGCGCATTGCTGTCATGTCCGATGAGGAGGCCGCCGAGGAACTCAAGAACCTCAATACCAAGTCGGCCCTTCCAAAGGCCATCCAGACGATGCGTAAGGCTCTCCAGCTCGGCAGCTTCTTCACAACTGGTACCGACGAAGTCCGACAATGGACAATAAGAACAGGCACCAAGGCGCCACAAGCTGCCGGTGTCATTCATGGAGACTTTGAGAAGACATTTATCCAAGCGATTGTGTACAACTACCAGACTCTGAGGGAAGAGGGTGACGAAGCCACTGTCAAGGCCAAGGGCAAGATCATGACCAAGGGCAAGGACTACGTTGTTGAGGATGGCGATATCCTGCTGATTAAGGCGGGTGCTGCCAAGGCATAGATTGCTTTATACTTGTATGCTTGAGAGCGGCTGTGTCGAGCCAATTGTGGTTCCCGGCCATGTGTGTATGTGTCTATGATTTACATGCGCGTCTCGCGACGAGGATGATGATGAAAAGCAGCTAGTCTGTATACGAAGGAATGAGAAGAAATGTCCAGTGAAGAATTGTGTTGTACTTGTGGTGTGATGATGATGATGATGATGATGATGTTACTCTTGTATATTTTATTTTTGCTCTATATGATATGAGACCTGGACAATTGCTACTTAACATGGTATTTGTAGATAAAAAAATGAAGAGGTGATGGAAGACAGCATTTTGTGTGGCATTACCTCAGAGATGGCTTGGTCTCGACAAGCATCCAACTGTTGCCACAGACGCAGTGCTTGCTCACGCCCACCAACCACTGATAGTGATGAATAGTATAGCCCTGCAGACCAGGCACAACATCCTCCATACAAGCACCACACCTCACACACTGCCTCAGCATATTCCTGCCCTTCCTGTCAGACCCAGACTCTCCATTCGCGGTAGCACCACCAGCAGCGGAAGCACCAGTGCCCCCAGCAGCACTCTGCAAACTATCACTTCTCCCCCTACCCATCAAGTGGTGACCAGACGTATTAACAGGATGCACCCAGGTGCCGATACCGCGGATAATCATTTTCTGGCACACGTCGACGACATGCTCGTCATGCCAAAGGCGTGCACGTTTTGAATCCGTGAAGCCGAGCCATGTGGTATCGAAGAACATGAGTTTGCCCATGTCGAGTTTATCTGCTAGACAAGCATTTTGCTGGTTGGAATTCCACAGGGTGTCTGTGACTAGGCGCTTTGCTACGGGGAAGAGGATGTCGGGTATTTTGCCGAGGAGAATTTCGCGCTCGATGCTGTTGCGTTGTGCGTCGTTGAGGTTACGTTGTTTGTAGATTGCGCGGATGTGGGCTGTGGTTTCTGTGACGAGGACTTCGAACCAGCGCCACTCGAAGGGGAGTTCGGAGACGGCGGAGAGGAGCGGTGTGTATAGTTTCTTTGATTCTGGGGATTGGACGGGAACAGGACCGCCGGCGGGGTTGGAGGTGGCGGCTTGGGATTCGGCGCTGCGTTTTACCCATTGGATCGGTTGGGCCCAGAGTTTCATCATTGCGCGGGGGAAGGCGGAGAGGAGGAGAAGGATGGCGGGTTTGTTTGTTTCTTTGATTTTGGATTCGAGAATGTCGCGGGTTAGGTCTGCGGGGGGGATGTCGGAGAGGGCGCGGCCGAGGGCGAAGAGGTCGTCGAGAATGTAGGCCATGAAGTGCATGGTCCAGCGGATTGTGCCAATCATTTGGGGGACGGCTTCGGGGCGAAGGTTGATTTTGGATACGTCGCCGTGCATGCGGACGATGGTTGTGAGGATCTGGGTGACGTACTTGATGTTGAGGATCTGCCATGCAGTTTTGCTAACCAAGGTGCGATTGATGGTTCCCTGAAGGCCCAGGAGGTGCATTGCTGAGAGTGTTTTGACAAAGAAGGGTGAGCGTCCGAGTAGGATGAAATGGTTCGTGGATGAGTCGTCAATGCCACAGTCAATATTCACTTGCAGCCCTTCGAACAGCAGGGTGATAAAGTCTTGCTTTCGTTTGTCGCTCATTGAATCGATAATGGCGAAGATGTCGTCGCTAGAGAAGTATTGGTTGGCGGCTGATGAAGACTGAAGAATGAGCGCTGCAAGCGCAGCAGAGTGGTGTGGGTCATCATCGTCTGAAGACAAGGTACCGTGCGTGTATTCCATCAAACGAAGCTTCGTGGTACCATCTAGTTGCATCCCAACAGCTACGCAGTGGTTTGGAGAGAAGGCAACGTGCAACGAAGGTTCAGCGTGCTGGAATACGAAACCAGCCTGCAGTAGCGAGGTTACATTGTCAGTATTGTCGTCTGGCATGATGACCTCCATTGTGGATCGCTTCCTGAACTCGATCGAGCCATCGCTATAGCAAAACGCCAGCAGCATGTTGTACCACATGGGGTAAAAGTCTAGGACAACTGAGTGAAGTGCAAAATCTGGTTGTCGTTTTAACAGAAAAGCAGTCTGAGCAGGCAGTGAGCTGACACTTTTCTTCTTGGATGTAACCTGTTCGAGGCTGGGGTGTAGCTGATTCTGCTGCTCTTGATGAACTTGCCACTTGACAATGATGCTGTAGCGTGTCTCTTGTGGATTCATGTCATACGAGATAGGATTTGGTGGCCTGCTAAATATGGCCTGAACTGTTGGTACGGAGCCGTCATCTTGTTGAGGTGTGACGGGAAGGAAATCAAGATGGGTCAGTTGTGCAGCAGCAGTAGCGGCGCTTTCTGAGGTCCCACCATTACTTAGTTCGTCGTTGGCCATGTCAACAGGATTGCAGGTGTCTTCTAGAGCGAGAAGTGAGACCTGGATTGTGGGCTTTTCAAAGGGGCCGGCATTTTGGCTTCTTTTATCGGCTGGAACGTTCCAAATCGTCTCAACGCGGTACAGATGCAGGCGCCTCTTGACATCGTATGCTGCTAGAAGAAGAGTGTTGTCTATGTTCGTTAGTAGAAAAAAGACATGGGAAACAAAAGGGAAATACCATTATTGGAGGCGAAGGCGGCATGAGTGAACGACTCTTTGGTGGAGATCATGGGACCCAGTTGGGCGGATGCCTCCTGCCAGTTGTTGTCGTTTTGTTGGAAACGGAGTTTGAGTTCACCATATCTCTTCAGATAGATGAGTGAAGCTTTGCCGTCGACAGGATGATGGGCATTGTTGAATAAATGTTGTCGAATGTTCCATTTCCACTTGTTGCCTTCTCGTGCAGCTGACCATGCAATCAG